TGTGTGTGTGTGTGTGTGTGTGTGTGTGTGTGTGTGTCTGTCTGTCTGTCTGTCTGTCTGTCTGTCTGTCTGTGTGGTGGACCTTGAACTCTGGGCCTGGGGGGTGTCCCTCAGCTCCAGGCTAGCGTTCTCCCACTTGAGCCACAGCACCCACTTCCAGGCTTTTGTGTTTATGTGGTGCTGAGGAAGCAAACCCAGGGCCTCATGCATGCGAGGCAAGCACTCTACCACTGAGCCTCCTTCTCAGTCTGCTCAAGTTTTTTTAAATTGCTTTTTTTTTTTTTTTTTGAGTCTGGTCGTGGGGCTTCAACTCTGGGCCAGGGGGGTGTCCCTCAGCTCTTCAGCTCAAGGCTAGCACTTTACCACTTGAGCCACAGCGCCACTTCCGGCTTTTTCCTTTTTGCTTATGTGGTGCTGAGGAATCGAACCCAGGGCCTCAGGCATGTAAGGCAAGTGCTCTACCACTGAGCCATCTTCCTAGCCCTGTTTTTATTTATTTTTTAACTATATTTTGTTTTTGTCTTTTCTTTTTGGTACTGGGGATCAAACCCAGGATGTTGCACTTGCTAGGCAAGTGCTTTGCCACGGAGCTACATCCCAGCCCTCAATTTAAAAAAAAAATTGTATTCTTGTATTCTTTCTGTGCTTCTTTCATTAAAATGAATTTTAAGCCCTTAGTAATTATGTTTTTGTACCAGAGCTACATTGTACAAGTAATAATAATTCCTGCTTTTCTTTCCTTTTTGTTTTTGCTTTTTAGACACAGGATCTTGCCATGTACTCTAGGCTAGCCTCAAATTTACTATCCTGTATCAGCCTCCCGAGTGCTGGGATTACAGGCCTGTACCACCACACCTGGCATAGTAATAATTTCTAACATTTATTTATTGAGAACAACAATGTGCAAGTTAACTTTACCAAACTCAGTACATAGGTTTTAATTATGCTTCACAGCCACTACATGAAATTACCATTAAATAGACTCAGTTAACAAGCAAATTGAAGCCTACATTAACTTAACATAGTTTGTGGAACAGTAGAACTAGGTCTTGAGTCCTTTCTGATATAGTGACCAATTCTGTGTAGTTCTATAGATTCCAAATTAATCTAATTTTGTGTGGTTGTATAGATTACAAATTAATCATATATCTATAGATATATGCATAGACAATGGAATATTGTTCAACTTTAAAAAGGAAGGATAGGGTGGGGCACTGGTGGTCACACCTATAATCCTAACTGAGATCTGAGGATCAGAATTTGAGGCCAGCCCAGGCAGGAAAGTAAGTCCAGGAGACTCTTAACCACCAAAATAGCTGGAAGTGCAACTGTGGCTCAAGTGGTAGAGTGCTAGCCTTGAGCAAAAAAGCTCAGGGATAGCATCAAGGCCCTGGACTAGCACAAAACAAAACACTTTCTTCCCTTC